GGGATCTGAGCCCTGGGCTCGGCCCTGGGGAGGCCGCCCCTCGCTGAGGGGGTTCAGTTTTGGGCCCCTCACCCCAAAAAGGCCATTGAATGACTCGAGCGTGGCCAGAGAAGGGCAACGGAGCTGGGGCAGGGTCTGGAGCACAGGTCTGCTGGGGAGTGGCTGGGGGAACTGGGGGGGTTCAGTCTGGAGCAGAGGAGGCTGAGGGGAGACCTCCTGGCCCTCTGCAGCTCCCTGCCAGGAGGGGGCAGAGAGGGGGGATGAGTCTCTGGAGCCAAGGCCCCAGCGCCAGACCCCGAGGGAATGGCCTCAAGCTGCCCAGGGCAGGGTCGGGCTGGCTCTGAGGAAGGATTTCTGTGCAGAAGGGGCTGTTGGGCGTTGGAATGGGCTGCCCAGGGCAGGGGGGAGTCCCCGGGATCCCTGGAGGGGTTGAAGAGTCGGGCTGAGCCAGCGCTGAGGGATCTGGGGGAGTTGGGAACTGTCACTGTTGGGTTGATGGTTGGGCTGGATGATCTTCAAGATCTTTTCCAACCTCGACAATTCTGTCATTCTATATCTCTATCCAAGTTGTAGAGTTTGGTCCATGCATCAGAGCCGCCCGCAGCACAGAGGAGAGCTGCGTGCAGGGGGGCCACAGCTGTGCGAGAGCGGTGGGGCGGCCTGAGGCATGAGAGCAGCGCCTGCGGGCTGCTCTGAGAACCCATCGGCCGGGCTCTGCCGTGGGGACCTGTTAACGTCATCCACGTGTGTTAGTCACGCAACGCACTGCGGTTGAGTGGGGTAGTGGAGTTTTATTGGAGATTGTGGCATTGTTTGTGCTTAAGTAAAACAAACGAAAGGAAAGCCCAGCCCTGGAAAGAAGAACTTTGCTTCTGGGAAGCTTGGAGCTGTTCATGAAGTATAAAGGATACCCTGCGTCAACCAAGGTGACAGCAGCGTCCCAGCCCCTCTGACACATCTCTGAAACCCTCCCAGCATTGTCTGGTGTCACAGATCAGTAGCTCAAGCAAAGCTGACCCTGGGGACATCCGGATCAATAGACAAGCAGCAAGAATGCTGCAAAACTAGAACCGCTTTGTGAAGTTTGACTCTGATTAGTAATCAGTGGTATGGCTGCTTGTGATCAGTCAAGTCATCTTGTACCTAAATGAATGAAGGGTGTAAGAACTTGTGTAAAGGCACATTCAGATGCCCCAATTTGGTGGGGATGCCTCATGCACCAAAATATTTATGCTAGAAATGGTATATTTTGTGTCCTAGCCTCTCCCAGTTGGCGCAGGCTTGTAAATGTTGGTGGCAAGCCCTGGGAACTCTTTGTAGTTAGTGGGAACGACTTGCCAAGGACCATGGGGGGCTGCTGCCAGGCTGTGTGCAGGGTCAGGCCGTGCTCCCCGCTGTGCTGGGGTGCACAGCCCGGCTTCCCTCACAATGCCATAGCCCCAGGCACAATGTCACACCCGCTGGGCTGTGTGTGTGGTTCCCTGCACCACCTCACACCCCTGAGCAGCTGGAAGAGGCACTGCCCAGGTCAGGCCAGTGTCCTCCCGCTGGGGGCTGACCTCTGCTGCCTTGCAAACAGCTCTCTGCAGCAGCTTTTTTGGCTCCTGTTTTTTGGCTCCCTCCCAGCAGCCCCTCACAGCTCCAGGGAGCACTGCAGCTGCCCCCCAGCTCTGGCTGCAGCCATTCCTCAGAGACGGTACCCGTGTTAGCCAGCGGCCAACTCACCTAACACCAACTATTTATTCAGAAGACATGCCAATAAAGACCCTGGACGTTCACAGCTCATGCTTTTCAGGCCGGCCCACCTTTCCACAGAGAGATCTTTCACAGGCCAGCCATGTTTTAGGCGTTTGGGTCAGCCTGCCAGATTGGGGATGGGGATTCAGAGGTCAAGGCTGACATTTTATGTTCTTAGAGGAGAGGGGAAGGACCCTCCTGTGCTGCTGAAGTACCACAGCTTCCAGCTCAGGACAACCCTGCACACAGCCTGACTCCTCTGCTGCAGCCCCCGGGACTCAGCTGCAGCCCTCTCCACCCACAGCCTCATCCCACTGCCCAGGCTATAGCTTCGTGGGTTCTTCTGGGGCGGGATGGTTGTAGGGCACCTGGGGGTGCCGGCTCACAGCGGGTGCGGGCAGGATGATGGGGGGTGAGTAGGGCCCTCGCTCTGGCCAGCACAGATCCATGATGGGGTAGAGCTGGCCCTGGAACTCCGCTTGGAAGGTGTAGATGGGGCTAAGCTCGTCGGGGTTGTCGGCATTGTAGAAGGTCAGCTCGCCCTTCTCGTAGTGCAGGTAGATGCCAATGCGCTGGGGACGGGTGGTCAGAGGCAGAGTGGCCCGCGGGCTGCTGAAGGCCTCATACACCTTCCCCTCCTTCAGGCCAATGAGCCACACGCCGTTCTCGGGAGATTTGCTGAGCTTCCCTTTGCGGCTGACCGTGCCCTTAATGATGCCCATGCGCCAGTGGTTCCTGGTGCCCACGATCACCTCCCAGTAGTGCTGGCCGCAGGAGAAGCCCTTGCAGGTGAGGATGCAGTTGCTGGAGTCAAAACGCTTGGGGTTGCTGTCCCGGCGCTGGTAGAGCCCACACTGCACCACCGTGTCGCCCTTGAAGAGCTCCAAGAGGGGATGCGCTGTCACCGGGTCCAGTTTCAGCGTCTCTGGAGCTAGAAGGAAAGCAGGCAGGCTGCAGGCATACTAGCAGGCAGCGGCCAGACTCTGGGCAACCCCAGGAGCTGGCACAGCCGGGCAAGCTGGCACTGCTGAACTTGAAGCAGCTGGGGTGTTAACGCTAGAGCAGGCTGCTACCAGCATGAGACACAGCCAGCCACTGCTCCAGGAGCTCTCCTGGGGGAGAGGAGTGCCCAAGCAGAGAGCAAGACAGAGGCCAGGGCTGCACAAGGCTGGCTGGGCAGCCTGTGCCACGCAGGGAGCTGGAGCTCCTGGCATGCTGCCAGCGGGGCAGGTCAGTACCTGGCAGAACGCGGCGGTGCAGGCGCTTCCACACAGTCATCTTGATGTCGTCTTGGTGGAAACACGGCTTGAAGGACACGGGGCTAAAGATGCCATCGCCAGGGTGCAGGCTGGGGAGCTCTGACCTGGAAAGACACGAGCAGCCATGATGCAGGTGACGGGGATGGTGTGTGACCTGTTCTTACCTGGCTGCCCTGTATGATGGAGCCACTGGTGTCTCACCAGCTGCTCTTGCCCTCTTCTGGGGCTGAGTGCGTGGCTCTGGCTGTGGCTATCCATCACAACAGCATGTCCATGCGAGGCTGGCCCAGCAATGCTGAGATGCCCGCTGGCCTGGGACCTCTAGCCCTGGTGTGGAGGCACTGTCATCCCCATCGATGCTGTTTGCTGCTGGGTCCCACCACTCACCTGAACTGGGAGGAGCTGTATTTCTGGAAAACACAAGAGAAAGAGAGAGTCAGTGGTGGAAGCCTGACAGAAAGGCAGCTCCTCTGCATGGTCGCAGCTCCACACATCCGTGTCCTGGGCTGGAGAGGCCAGGGCTCTCCTGTCCTGAGAGCTAAGGGCATCGCCTCTCATGGAGGGCAGATCTCTCCCATCAAGAGAAGCCCTGGCTGGACAGAGGGCACCTACATCTCACTTCTCATGGTATCTCAGCTGTGCCTGCGGAGGGTTCCCACTCCCCGGGGCAGGGGTCAGGGCTATGAGCAGTGGTCTGAGGGTGGGGGACCCTGGCTGACTGTCACTGCCTTCACGAGCGAGTGCACTCACCCGGATGAAATCAAGCTGGCTTTCATTGCTGAGTACCTCCAGGGAGCTCTGCATCTCCTTGAGCCTCTGCAGGGCATCTGATGTCTGCTTGACCTGGGACTCAATGGAGGTGATGAGCTGGGCTGCCTTCCCCTCAATGCTCTCCAGGAAGCTGGCCTTCTCCTCATCGATGTACCTGTGCAGCTCCTGGAACTCCTTCCGGATCACCCACTTGAAGACATCTGCCTCGTTCTGCCAGAAGACAGCAGGCAGCTGCGCAGGGCTGCCTCACTCCGTCCCCTTCACCTGCTTTTTGGTTTCAGAGATGCCACCAGCAATGTCAACATGTCCCACCAAGCTGCCCTCCACTGGCTTTCCAAATAAAAAACAGCTCTGTACAGCAGGCTGGATCTTGTTTCATCCTGCTCACCACCTCAGCAGCTCACCACCACAGCATGTTTGCCTTACACTTCTCCTCCCTGAGATTTTTGTCTCCTGATGTTCCTACCAGCTTCATCAGAGCCCTGAGACAGCTCTTGGATCCCTCTGCTCCCAGGGAATTGCCTGTCTCCTGGGCCAAAAAGAAGAAAGCTGCACTTTCCTGGGAGAAAGTGCAACTCCACTTTCATTTGGGTTGAGTCCTTCTGAGGAGCCTCAGTGGGAACCTTTAGCCTCAGAAGGGATGCCAGGAGGTCCCTTGGAGACATCTGCTGTGTGGGAAACAGATAGGCAACTAAACCAGACATAAGCTCGATGTGAAGCCAACAGCATTGCTCTGACTGGGAATCCTGCTCTGAGTGGGGTCCTTTCCACCTGTAATCTCCCCATCTCCAAGGACATTCGGTCAAACCAACTCTGACTGCTGCTCCTGCCAGGGCACTCAGTGAGGGTTACATCACCCCTTCTGAAAACAAGGCTGTGCCACCAGAGAGGGCCACGTCACCCTTCCCAAAAACAGGTCTATGTTTAATCCCTGAGTTTTGTAGAGAACATGAACCTCAGGGAACAGGGTGGAGGGTAAGCCCTGTCTGCTAACCCAGGGAAGGGAGAAGACAAGGAGAGGAGTAGAGGCGGTGAGATGGGGAGAACCAGGAGCAGAGGCTGCTCCAGGGGCTGTGTGGGACACAAAGGACACGGGGACATGGGCTCCATTGTCACATGGCACTCACTGCGATGCGGCTTTTGTTGTTGATGAGCTTGCTGAAGTGTTCATCCAGGTTCCTCTTGTACTGGTGGACATCGGTCAGCAGCACAGACAGCTCCTCCTGAAAAGACAGCACCTCTGTAGGAGGGACCTCTGTGGCAGCCTCCTCAATCCCAGGCAGTGCTTGTCAGCCCCCTGAGGAGCACACGGCCCTCAGAAGCCATGTTCTCCTAAGCTTTCACTAAGCTTCCTGGGGCCCTGAACATCCTGATCTAGAGGATTTGGGGTTGCCAGAGTCAGGAGACCGCTCAGAGCATGACTCCAGTCTGGATCCTGCTGACCACCTACTCTTGCCAGGAGCACCACATCTCCGATCTCACTCCCGACCCTCCATATCTCACACCCCGTGGTGGCTCTACATCAGGCGAGCAGATGGCAAGCAGGTGGTGAGCAGCCACAAGCCGGCACCAGGCCAGTGGCCCCCTCCTAGTGCTGGTGCCGGGAGCCTGGCCGGGGCAGGAGCATTTTGGGTGTCTCCTGCTCTTATCTCCACGGGGCCAGGAGCGGAGGGGACGTGTGGCCCTGTGCTTTTCCACTCCTGGCGCCTTCATGTGATGCTGGGCAGGGGACGCCAGCTGTTTACTCTGCCTGGCTGGGGCTCCTGTTTCCCTGCCTCCCTCCTCTCCTGTGGCACCTCGCCTCAGCCCTTATCTCCAGACTCTTTTTGATGGTGTTTGGAAACAGTCTTGAAAGGCCCCACCGACACTCCCTGACCCCTGGCTCTCCCCACCACAGTGTAGCCACTGAAACTGTGAGTCTTCTCAGCTGGGGACACACCTAGCCTGAGAAACAGCTGCTCCCCAGCCCAGGGACCCTGCCCCACACCTGGCTGTGCCATGGGGCCGTGCTCCCCACACTGGTGGCATCATTTCCAGCCTGACCCTTAAAGAAGAGGGGACATTGGCCAGCAAGAACTGCAAGTGCCCTAACCCTGACCCCAGGCTCTGCCTGCCAACCTTCATCCGGCAGTACGTGGTAGAGATGGGGGTGATCTTGTGCTGGCGGTGGTTGCCGATGGTGCCACACAGCCCGCAGATCACCTCTTGATCAGCCTCGCAGAAGAGGCTGAGGGGGTTGTGGTGCGCTGGGCAGGACTCCGGGGTGGGCTCTGCCTCGCCCCGGTTCTGCAGCGCCTCAATGACACGGGCCAGCGTGACGTTGGGCGGCGAGGCACTGCAGTCCACAGTTTGGCGGCACACGGGGCAGAGAAACTGCCCATCCAGCTCTTCAGAGAGTGACACCACACAGGACTTGCAGTACGAATGCCCACACTGCAGCATCAGGGGCTCCTTGAAGACCTCCAAGCAGATGGGACAGAGTAGCTGGTCCTCCAGCTCGTTGATGCTCATCCTCCGAGCCATCCTGCCACCCTCCCACAGCAGCACAGATGTGGCCTGGGAAACAAGGGTGAGAGATCAGCCCCGTTCCAAGAGCAAGATCAGCAGAGATGTGCAAAGATGGAGCTCAGCACCTGGGGAAGGTGAAACAGAGAGGCGCCTCCACACACACACCCCCAGCAGCAGCACAGATGGTTGCAAACTCATCATTAGGCTCCACCAAAGTCTGAGATGCTTATTTTAACCCACGGTGGGTTTGGGCTCTGGAGATGTGAGACCACACCTGGCCACGAGTGCCAGATCTGCCTAAGGTATCAGAAGTGACCATCTGGGGCCTCTGCCTGGCAGGGGCATCACACTGCAGCCCACCTCAGTGGAGACCTGCCTGTGTGCCAGGGCTGGAAGCAGAGAGAAGAGGGAATTTCTGCTGAAAAATTCCAGTATTGACCCTGGCCTGTATGAATTCCTGCAGATCTCTTTGGGCTCATTGTCCTAGTCATCATGGATATCCTCAGAAGGATTGGCATTAGGTCAAGTGATGCATCTAAGCAAAAGTGGAAAGAAATCATAAAAAGCACATTTATCTAGGAGGAAGGGACAACCACCACATAGTAAACACCTGTGAGGCTGGATTTCACTGATACAAGGGCTGGAAAGCTGAGGCACAGCATGCAGGGCTGCAGCTGCAGTTCACTCCCTTGAAACATGATGTGGTCTCTGGTCCTTGCAGTGCTCCACGCGCTGGGCCAGCACCTCCAAGAGACACAAGCCCAAATCCCAGCCTCTCCTCCAATCCCTGGGGCTGCATGTGGCCAGCCTATTTAACAGCTATAAGGTCATGCAGCGTTTCCTCCCCTGCTGTGCTGTTTGCAGAACTGTTGGATATAACCGCCAAGATCCTGGGCAAGTAAAAGACATAACCTGAAGTCAAAGAAAATAAACCTGATCCCAGGGAAAGAGGAGGCTGTGGCCTGAGCTTGACTTTTATTATACATTGCTATAGGAGCTTCATCAATCAAGGAAAGCTAGCACATCAGCCTGTGACCCATGACACTGTAGGAATCCATATGGGGGAACCAGCTTCAGCTGCTCCATCTGCTTACACAGAAACACCTCCCAGAGACCCAGATAACAGCCTCTCACTCACCACACCACTCGCGTCCTGCACAGCTTCCTCCTGGTCCCGGCTTGGGCTCCGCTCGTCCCAGCACACCAAGGCCAACCAACGTCACTTGGCTTCTCCCGATCAAGCTGAAGATTTCGGCTTGGTTGGAGGGGCAGATGAGACAGGCACTGGGACCGGTGGCCCCTCGGCAGGATGGGGAGCCAAGCCTGCAGCCTCAGCTCTGCCGGGAATGTCTCTGCTTGCTGGAGAGGCCAGGCAGCCTCTTGTCCCCTTCTGCTTTGAGGACAGCGTCACACCCCCATGAAAGGCTGCCCACCGCCCTGCGGGCACACATATCATATGACTGTGTGGGCAGGATCCTTGATAAGACCTGGTGTTGTTTGCCTCCCTGAGCCGGTCTCTCCGAGTCCCACTGGGGTTTCACTCATCTGCGTTGCTTGGGAGAGCAGAAACATTTTCACCAAAACGCTTTCTTATCAACTAAGAGACAGGGGCTGGACCGTGTCCCTCTTCCAGCAGCTGGGGTGGGACCACGACCTGCGTGGTGATGGAGGGGTGCGCAAGAAGGAGCTGCGCTCTGGTACCGGGGAGATTGTGCCCGCGACCGCCTCTGTGGCAGGTATTGCCGGGCACTGGGGCCCGGGGTGCTCCCGTGGGCCGCGGGAGGCTGCGTGGCAGTGGCTGGGCACCCCCCTGTTGCAGGTTCTCACACCTTCCCTGTGTCATCTGCTCAGTGCTGCCAGCCTGGTGTCCTGCGAGTGCTGCGTGAGCTCGCAGTCTGGCGCCCCGGGGGCTTTAGTGTAGTCGGCAGTAACTTTGTGCCCTGCTTTGTGGGTATGAGCCTGGAGGCTCAGCTGGCGGTCTTCTGAGCAGCTTGCTTTATAAATGGCAGTTGTTTAGTCTGTGGTTAGCAGGTTTAAGAAACCCTAAAATCCTTAGAAAAGTAAACTGAAGTCGGGGCCTCATGCTTATCTGTGTCATTTATGTCTTAGTGCAAGGTCCTTGCTTTTGGACATTGCTTTGGTGTGTGTGGCTGGAATTGAAATATGTGCTGGAGGGGACAGAGAGGACAGAACCTGTTGTAAAAGGTCCCTTGAGCCTCTAACACTGAGGTGCTTGTCGCTGACAAATCTGAGTCCTTTAGAATTTATCATGAGATCAGAACAATAACTTAAAAGTGCTTATATTATACACTAGTGTGTCTTTCAGAGACTGTCTGCTTTCTTTATCAGTATTTAGCACTTGGGATACTCTGTTTAACTTCTTGTGGCACACAGATTAAATGAAAGGGCATCTTGACCTTGATAAAAGCAGGATTTACAGGTCCCACCTTTGCTCACAGTATAGAGAAGTTTGAAGCTGAAAGTGGTTCCTGAAGTGCAGAGGCCTGATGCTGTGCTATGGGAAGCCATTACAGTGTGTTTACTAACTGAGAGAACTGGAGTTAGATATACAGTGCCCAGAAGAGTGGTGGTGTCTGGGGGGGTACCTTTTCCCCTTTAATTCTCTTTCCAGGGTTCCAGCTTTGGTTAGGAAAGGCTTTGTTACGCATTTCTGCAGATAATTGGGGCATTTTAATTTCTACAGCTGAAGTTTCCAATTCTTAAAAAACACAAAATCACATCTCTTTATTAGGGATAAAGATTGTGAAGCAGCTGCTTTATCTGGTGATGATGTTAAAACATAGTCAGTGCCATTTGGCTACTTGGATGTGACCGGGTTTTTGGTATAAAACACAGTGTGGTTTGTGCTGCCTCTGCTGTTTTATAGCAGGAGGAATAAAAGAAAAGTGGGATAAAAGGGTCGTGTTGAAAAACTTAATTCCTGGTGTGCTCCTAGTGGTACTGTTATGGGATATGAAATCAAATTCTTGCATTTTTCTTCTCCCCACTCCTTGCTTTGGGCTGCACAGCTTGGTACTCTGGGTACCTGGAAGGCTTGGATGAGCCCTTCTGCACAAACCAGAACAGAAAGTTTCCTGAGCTGATGAAACTTGGAAAAGGTAGGTTTGAGCCGGAGAGTTTGTCCTGGGACTTGGGGTTGCAAAGACCAGCCCTTTAAGACGTGTTAGTTCATATGCTGTTTAGTATCTTTAGGTTATTTGAAACCATTAAAACTTGTTAACGGAGTCTAAAAGCCTGCTTCGTGGCACAGGTGGTGGTCAGTCTGGAACAGATCAGCCTCTGCCCCTCTTGGCTGTTAGTGGCAGTGGGGTGCTTACCACCCACTCTGAGGCAGCTGCTTGTCTTGGTGTTTTTAAAGCAAATTAATAATTTTTAAATCATCAGGAGATGTTGCTGTTTACTGTGTGCTGGGTCCTACAGCAGACTGCCTTGATAATTCGTAACAGGGGGCAGTTGACCACTGTAGTTGCTGAGATGTGAGCTACCAAAGATTTTTTTTCCTCCAGGCTTTGGGAGGAATCATTGTTTGGTGTCTGAGAGGGTTTCCATGTTTGATTCTCATGACCTTCCATATCTTGCTGTGACAGACATTACACTGCAGGGCCTGATAGTTGGCCTGCTGTCGATGAAGAAGGGAGAGGTGGCAAGATTTGTCTTCATGCCAGATTATGCCTATGGGCAGCGTGGTTGTCCTCCTCTTATTCCCCCAAATGCCATGGTCATGTTCACAGTGGAGTTGCTGGACTTCCTAGACACAGAGGAATCTGATGCATTCTTCGAGTTGACTGCTGTGAGTTGCTTTAGTAAGGTTTGAGACCTAAATCTGGAGGCTAAACCTTTGTTGTCTTTCCTTCCATTTGCTGTTGCTTGTGCATTATATATGTTTAGCTTAATGCAGGTGCAATTATCCATGCCTTGGGCTGCTGGCTTTTCTCGGATACAAACACACGTGCTTTAGCACTGTCTCTGCACGCCTTGTTCTGTTTGCACTCCCGTGCGGAGGGAGAAGCTGGGCACTGCCTTTGCTCCTGTGCTGGAGTCGGTGGAACGACTTCTATTTGTTTTAGCTTTACAACAAGCCTTATGGTTTCGCTAGATGGCACCAGCTTCCAGGAATTTCGCTGAAGGAACAGTAATGAGCTGTCTAAAAAATCCTGTTCAGTCTGCAGTCCAAGTGCCCCCCAGCCCCCACCCTTTGTCTCTGCTTCTTGGCTGCTCTCCCAAGTGCTCCTTCACTGTTCGCTTTCCTCCCTGGTGAGTTACGGTGTTATTGTTAATGCCTCCTTTTCATGTAAAGGGCTTTGGGCTGCGGTTGTGGGTCAGTGAGTGGGGCACAGGCAGCAGTGGTGGGGGGGTGTCCCTGCTCATTCCCTCCTGTTGCTGCACAGGCCACTTTTTCAACGTGTAGCCCTGTGAGCAAACCACACTTGTTGCAAGAGGGCTTACTCCCCTTCTTGCCAGTTGCCCACCCTTTCTGGCTAACTAAGCTCTCTCTGTGAGCTGGCTCAAACTTGCAAACCCAGGAGAAAATCTGTCCCTTGTTTTTTGCCTTTTTATTATTGTTGGGTTTTTTATTTTGCTGGTTGGTGTCTTGTGTGGGTGTCAGGCTGGTGGAGCCATCGGAGCGATGAAGTCTTTCAATCAGCTTCAGCTTTTGTGCCACCAGTAGCATTTGCATTAACTGCCTGCTCTGTGCTAAGCAGGTGAGAGAGTTGGGCAGGATTTAAGAACAAATTCCTGCTTTTTTCCCTCCCCTAGAGTCTCTTTGGTGCTGGTGAGCTTCCTGGCCTGGTTGGTCACACTCTTCACCAGGAGTTACCAGCACAACAACAGAGGCATGTTTCAGCCTGGCAAAGAGAATTGCCATGTGGTGGTGGCCTGGCTGGATGCTGCAGGGGCCTTGGCAACAGCCAGGGGGACTGTGTAGCAATAGCAGGGGACTGTGTAGGGATATCCTGCCTGAGGTCTCTGCCTGCTTTCTTTTTTTCAAGCTGAAATTCAGGTATTTTTTTTTATACAGGAGCAGCAGGATACGTTTCCGCTACAGAAGGTGTTAAGAGTGGCAGATGCAGAGAGAGAGTTTGGCAACTACTTCTTCCGTGGGCAACACTTCAGTCTTGCCAAAGACAGATACAAAAACGTATGACATCAGAAAAAAATGTGTTTTCCATTGTGAAAAGCTGTGAAAGCAGTGATTATTAAGTGCTAGCTCACCATAACAAGTACAATTTAGAGATCAAATAACTTCATTATATTTTCCAGGCATGGTTTGTTATTTAAGAACAGATCTTAGACACCTGCTTTTGTTTGAGCAGCAGGGATAAATGAAGGAGAAGGGTTGGCAGAAATAGGCACAACCCTTTCCCTTCAGGTTTGTTCCCTGTGGGCCCTAGCTCAGACACAAGACTCCATCTCAGGGGCAGTGCGAGCCCTGAGTGGATTGTGTGGCTGACAGCTGAACTGGAGCCTTTCAGGTCAGCTTATCCTGGGAGGTGTTAAAATGCAGCAGCATGGCCTTGTACTGCAGCAGTGTGCTGATGAATGCTTTGGGAAGGGAACTAGAATTCCTTTGGCCTGGAAACAGGTATCACTGGCACACTAGACGCTGTATTTTTAGCCCTCTAGTTGGAAATCACAGGATAGTTGAGGTTGGTAGGAACCTCTGGAGGTTGTCTAGTCCAACCCCTTGCTGAAGGAGGGTCAGCCATAGCAGGAGCTTGCCCGGGATTGTCCATTCAGGTTTTGAACATCTCCAAGGATGGACACTCTGCAGCCTCTCCAGGCAGGGACATACTTGGTTATTCCTAAACTGGAATGCATCTGCTTTTGTTTCAGAGGTGGTGAGGTTTTGTGAGATTTTTTTCTTTGTAACCAAAAAAAAAAAAAAAAAAAGGCAAGCCTTTCTCCCTGTAAGATTTCTCTTCCATCTTTGTCCTTAAAATGAGTCCCAGGTGTAATTTTTTTATTCTGCTGCTTTCAAGTTCCTTGATAGGTTCCTAAACTTGTAGTCTTAAGGCTGAGCTGTTTAGTCATGCTGATAATGCCATACAATATGTTTAGAGTTGGTTTTTTTTTTAACTCACCTAGGTAAACAAACATGGGTGTAGCTGTCTGAGATGGATTTCTCACTTTCCATAATAGATCTGTTGTGCACTAGGGTTTTTTTTCCCCTGTCTGCTCAGGCAATTTCCATCCTTGGTCGCAACCCTTCCAGTGATGCAGAGCAGTGTCAGATCAACACTGCCAAGTTGCTGGTGCTCCTCAATCTCTCGATTACTTACCTGAAACTGGAGCGTCCTGACAGAGCTTTGGCATACGGGGAGAAGGCCTTGGAGATTGACCAAAGAAATGCCAAAGCACTGTTCAGGTGTGGCCAGGTGAGCAAAAATAAATTCCTCTGTCAAGGAATACCCCAGCCTGACTGACAACCTCGACTGAACCGAGGAGAACCACTAAATTCTGGGCCAGGCCTCCTGAGCTGCTGTAGCAGTTGAGGTGGCTTGTCTGCATCTGACCTCTTGGAGAATCTGGTGCTCTGTAAATCTGTCACACAGATCTTTTCATGAGGGATTCCTGGGCTACCTGGATCTGTCTCAGAAATGTTTCTGGTTGCACATGTTTGAGTCCGCTGGTGAGTCTATATTTATCTTGCCATGCATCTCTTCTTTCAATGGCAGGCTTGTTTCTGCATGACAGAATACACAAAAGCCTGGGATTTCCTGATGAGAGCTCAGCGTATAGAGCCATTTAACCACTCTATTAACAATGAGCTGAAGAAGTTGGCAAGGTGAGAGAACTCCTTTCCATCCCTCTGGGAGTGAGAGTGCTTAGACAGGCTGGAACACCCACTCAAAAATATTTAAAGTGTTTAAAAAAGCAAAACACAAAGCTGTTGGGTTAGTAAGTGACTTGGGGGAAAGGCAGACAGCTGATTCAACCGTTTTGCAGACACAGTGGTTACAGGTGATAAATGTGAAGCTGTGACCACCCACTCTATCCAGACAGTTTCTCTGGGGGGATTTGTGTGTTAGACTCGTGATTAGGTAGGTCAGGGTGATGAGGGCTTCTGAAATTCCTCAGAACCAATGAAATGCAGGGGGCTAGCATTCAAGCTGATGTTCTGCACTAATAAGTATGACTTTTATTCCCTTTAAGATGCGTTGATTAATTACAGTGGCTCTTCTGCACTGCAAGTAGTTCACTGTGCAATGCTACAAATACTAGTGTCTGTTAAAAGTGAATTTCTTGCTGTCTTGAAGGTAATAAGTGAGCAGTCCTGAAGGCAAACTTTCCCTTCATCTGCAGGCTGAGCACAGCACAATCCTGCCAGCTTTAGTCATGCCCTAGCCCCACCAAGACATGACTAAAGCTAGTCTCTGCCCTTGTTCTGGTCTTCTCTTTGAAACTGGCAAAAGCATTAGCTGGTTCCCAAAAGTGTGTGCTGTACTTCTGGCACTGTTTACAGCCACAGAAGGTGATGCAGTCCCCAGCTTCAGAAATCACAAAGCAGACCTTGAATACAAACCCTCCTCTTCTGTGTGTCCCTCTGTTTTGCCAATTACTAAGCCTAGCATAAAGATGAACCAATAACCAAATTGATACAAAAGGGTCAGTACATGGGTGAGCGCTGGGGGTACAAACAAGTCAGATTATACATAATTGACATCAATCCCACTGACCCCAACAACATCACATGACCAACAATGGGTGGAATAAATGGTGAAATGCAGTTTCCCATAGAAGGGATGGGAGACAACCAAGTCAACAAGCCAAACACATCAGACCAAGGAAGCCACATACTGAATCTCTACACAGCCCACGTTTACTGGAGCCCAGTCCCAGGGAGGCAGGAGGTCCTTCCCCAACAGGGAACTCTGCACAGGGCATCTACCTCACACACAGACACTGCCCCTGCCTGCAAGTGGTCCCAGCTGTTACCCCTCAGTGGGACACCTGACCCTTGGTTACTCAGTGTGGGACCCCTGGGGCTCACTTACCCAATGGCTCTGTCTGCCAGGCCGGCACCACCCTGGAGGGAAGCCTGAAGGCAAACTCACCCCCCTTTGGGAAGGGCTGTGGGAAATCACCCACATGTCAACCTTAATTTGGGGCTTGGGGTTGAAACCCCAGCATTTCACCCTGCTAGGCATTTGTGAAAAGGTTTAAAGGCAACAATAATATCTCTTATCAGAGTATTTAGTACGGCTGGAAAAGCCAGTCTCCTGGTCTGATTGTTTTCACCACATAAGGTTTTGGTAGAGGGATGTCCTTGCATGTTGGCGTCCTGTATACCCACATTGCCTTTAATAGTCTGTGATAACACCCAGGCTTCAAGCTTGTTCTGTGTCTTCTGACATACGGAGAACTTGAAAGCAATATTGGATGTTGGTCTGGAAATCTGAAATAAACCACTTCATCCTGATCGGCCTCTGAGTATGTAGATACTAAATTGCTAGGTGAGCACAAGCAGTTATAAAATAGGTCTGTCTGGCTGGCTACTCTTGGAGGCTTGGGATGGGAGTAGTGTCAGTAGTACAGTGCTCAATGGTAGAGCCTTGCGTGTTCTTTTAGACTCTTTCAAAATATGTTGGCAAGTAAAAGAGAAATCTTGCTAATAGTGTTGAAATTGTGCTGCCAGGAAGCAACAAGGCATTCTGCCTTCAGGGAAGCAGTGGGCAGGCTGGTCTGCTCTGACTCTGGAGATAGCAGCACGTACACCTAACGCATGTCAGGAAGCTAAGTATGCATTCAGCCACTGTTGTCTCAGAGTTTCTGCCTCCGTGCCAGTTAAAATTTATGTATTTTTTTGCTTTTACTATGACAAAGGGTGGAATTAGTGTAAAACAGATTAAAACAATGTTATTGAGTGTTGTTAATTATGCCATAGCTTGGTCTAGATCCTGTGATGTCAAACTGCCTTGCCTGAGAAAACTTGTCATCTGGCAAATGCTTCAGAAATGGAATATGAATCAAAAATTTGTTCTTAGAGGCTCCTCATTTCCTTACTGAGTACATTTATACTTTGCAAAAAGGAATGCTGTGTGTTAATCAACAGCTACCTTTTGCTGTCTAAAACAAAACTTCAAGAAGTGTCAAACAGCTGAGCCAGGTTCTTGGCAAAATTCACTTCACTGGAGAAAAACAGGCAGAATCCAGAGTTGAGGGTTTTGTGGAACACGTGTTTGGTACCAGCTGTAGTGATCTTGTGGGAGCAAATTCGGCTGCTGGATTTGGCAGTTTATTGGAAGGCTTGTTGTTGCATCAAATCCAGAGCAAAATGGTGGTGTTCTGATATCTGGCATGAATCTGTGCCTCCGAATGAAGGGCTCTTGGGTTTCCTGCTGAGGTCGGTGTGTGAGCATGCCATCCCCAGGCTAGGTGGGCATCCCCGATCTGCTCGGTGTGGACAGTTGGGACGACATCTGTCTGAAACTTGACAGAAGCGACTTGCTGTGCTGGGATTTCATGAAACAAAACACTTTGAGGTTCTGGACACCAGGGTGCTGATGGTAAGGGGCTGAGAGAGCATTAGCCAGTCACGTTTGTGCTGTTTCTGCTGTGTTGCAACAAAAACCTTTGCTTTTGACCTTATATGGTAGCATATGAGGGAAAGCTGACCATGTGGGCAGCCATTGATTCCTGGGATGGTGCCCAAACTGAGTCACCCTCTGGCTCAGGGATTCTTCACCAGTGAGGCCTCGTTTACTGGTGAGGTGAGAGCACAGGGTGCAGAGGACACTGTGCTTAGAGAAGCAGAGGTTGAAATGGAGCAATCTGAGAAGCTTTTCCCATGCAAATGGGATACTGGCAGGGGAGTGAGAAATGAAGAGGAAGCATTGCCCTGTCGTCCATTTAGGCCACAAATCCCTGCTGTCTCCTGTCCATCCTCTGCCCAGATTTGATGTCAACAGTAAATATCCTGGAGTAGGGCACTTGGACCATGTCTCCTGCTAGGTGCTGAAGGAGCTCACACAAGGAGTGGCACAAATGAGGAGACATGAAACTAGACCACAGGATGCAAGTGGGGGTTCCTCTGCATCTTTGCATCATGTTCTTGCAAAACTGGTGTAGAAAGCCTCTGGCTACCAAAAGTCAAATGATCTACTTAGCTGATAATCACTGGCAAAGCAGAGACCCAGGGTCTGAAGGTGAGGCACAGTGTTTCCAGCTCTCCTTCCCTGACAGGGCAGAAAGAAGGGCTTGGAGGAGCTGCATCTTTGCTACCAGCACACTCTTACATCAGGCTAATCTATTTCTATAGAAAAATTAATATATAGTCTCTGGTTGTGGCACTGACGGTCGGTCGGGCAGCCCACAGCCTGTGGTGCCACACTCTGCTCTATTTTGCAGATACTACAAGGACTACTTGACAAAGGAGAAAGAAATGTGCTGCCGCATGTTCACCCATCTTCAGGCTAAGGACTAGTGAAGGTAATCAAGTTGTGGAAAAGGCTGAGGTTTCCCAACAACTCTGTTCCATCTGAACTGCTTTCAGGTGGGGAACCTGCTTCTCTTCTGCATGGGAGGATGTTGGAGGCCAAATGTAAGGTGATGGGAGTGTGTGGGGAGGGGAGAGGGCAGGATGGTGGTGTGAAATGCTGCCACATTGTCAGCTTGGGGAATCTTTCAGGCAGGCTGGCATGGGACAGGAACCTGAAACTGGCAACACTTCAATAATGTTTCCTGTGCTGCTCATCCCAGCTATTTCTTGTCAGAGCCAGCTGTGTGCTATTGTTTCCCTGCCAATTAAAAGAAACAAAACAAAAAAAATTGTTCCTGTCAAACTTAAGAATTGAATTTCCTCATCCCCTCCAGTATTCCTGTCTGGAGCTGTTGGAATGTTGGAATATTTTATTTCTGGGTTTTCTAAAATACTAAAAAAACCTGTTTGTATAGGAAATTTCAAATAGATATTTAGGACTCTTTAAAGTGTTAAATCTTCTAGCAAAATTGATAGATTTATAAATGCACAAAGGCTCTTTGATCATTCTTTTTTTTTTTGTCAAAACCTTTGGGGGTGAAAGGGGGGGTGCAAGGGGGAGTGGAAATCTTCACTGGTCGCTTGTCTTGGGGTAAACCCTAGGGAAGGAGTTGCGGAAAATGACAGCAGCCTTTTGTCAGAAAGCATCACCAGCTCGGAGCCGTCAGAATTTGCTGCTGTTCTCTCATGCAGTATTGGCAGCCTTTTCATCAGTAGCAGTGTGAGTGCAGGGTGCAGGTCCGGTATTTTAAGGTTGATTGCTCTTTTGTCTGTGCTTGTGAGGAGGCCGAGGTAGTATTTGAAGAAAAAATTTGATTGAACAGCTGGTTCCTAAAGCAACACAACCCTCTTCTGGCTGGATGTGCCTCCCTGCTGTAGTTTTGACCCTCCTGCTGCCCCTGTGCCCCACGGGGTCTGAGCTGGGCATGTTGCTGTATGGCCTTGGAGCACAAATTCTTCTGCCCTGGGTTCAGGATGAGACTGATCACATCTGTTAACGGGTACCTACCCCCAGGCAAGTAGCTGTGAAAGGGGATTTAAGACTAATGAGCTGTCTTGCCAGTATGTGCAGGAGGTCCGTGTCTCTGGACTTGGCAAGGAGGCTCTTGTTCTCCACTTGCTGAATTTCAGAGACTTGCCATTTGGAAGCCTGTAGGACCTGGGTCTCGTGTCTGATGGTAGTACATAGCAGTGCCTGACCTGAGAAGCTTCTTGTGTCAATCAGTGTGTCGGCTAGCCCTGCTTTTGGCAGGAACTCTGAAAGCATGTGGTGTTCTGCTGGGTCACCAGACAGGTCCCTCCACTGGTAAGGTTGTGTGGCCTCTTGCTTCCCAAAAAGCAGCTTGCAAAGATGCTGATTTCTGCACAGTTGGTGTAATGGCACATAGCTGCTGCTGTTGTAAGTAAAGCAGTGTGTTCAGTAGTGGAGAGTGAGAAGTGCAAAGGGGAAGGGAAAGAGAAACCTCTGCTGGAGGCAAGCTTAAAGATTGGGCTGATCATCAGCCAGTTTCTCCATTGACTCCTACCAGTGCACATGTACAGCACTTTCCTGGAGTTTTCCCGCCTTACACAGCTGATGGACAGCTGTCAGTCAGCAAGATCTAACCTTTGAAGTTGATTTTAGTTACAGTATCAGAAAGAAACTCAGTCTTCCAGACAAACAAATCAGTGAGAACTACACGAGAATCTACTGTTAATTCATTGCCAGAAAAATCCCTTGCTGGAGGAGCTTGTTGCAGGGCAGAGCCCTGTGCTAGCTGGAGGTTGGTTTGCTGCTGCATCTTGTTTAAAAACTTCATCACATATTCAGAGAGGAGCAAAGCAGTTCCAGCCAGAGCTCCTGCTCTCTATCAGAGGCACTGCTAATTAGTCAGACTTGAGGCAGAACGTTCTTTGGTGTTTTCTGACGACTTAGTGCAAGTTCAGTTTAGGGCACAAGCTGTACTCGGTCAGTCTGGCAGACCTGCTTCATCCTTTCTGTCTTAGGCATTGAGTGAGTAGATGGCCTGTGAACGCTGCCTGTAGCTCATGTTTAATGACCCAGTGGAATCACAACAGTTATGGAAAACTTTCTTATATACCAGCTGGCAGGTGCTTGTGAAGCATTGACTTGACCTGTTGCCCAGCTTACCAGCTAAATGCCTCAGAGCTGTAGCTGTGGCATTTTCTTTCTTCTGAAACAGTTACATCCTTCCCCCTGCTTCAGAGCTCCTTCTGAGGTGGGTCTGCTGTACGTTTTGGTGAGTTCTGCAGCCGTTGCTCTGTTTCAGGGACAAATGCTTCATTTCCTGAGTGAATCATCCAGGACTCTGTTGTATGTTTTGCATAATGACACTCAAACGCAGACACACTTGAGTATCTTTATTCTGCCTGGTATTTCTATATGCCTCTCATTGTTCCTCTAGTTGCCACAAACAACATCTTCCTCAGAACACACTTAATTTTTAACAAAAGAGTTTCAGGTCAGAATAAATCTTCACTTTAGTGAAATTCATGGTCACTTGTGATGCTTCCTGGAGGAATTCAGAAATACTCAGAGGGAGAAATAGAAGCACAAACACTTTCTTAAATCCATACTGCTGCAGCCTTGCAAATGCAGTGCCTTGCATCTCGTGCTTGCCCCTGTTTGGGTTTGGGTTATTGCCTGCCTCTACACTTCATGTGGTGCAGACATGTCGAGACAGGTTACCTGGGATGTGTATAGCTGAAAGTCCTCCTCAGTGTCCACTAAATTGCAGGATGGATGGGCTGAGGACCACTGGCTTTTTGTTTGTTCTTGTTTGAAAGACCTGTCAGAAAAAAAAAAAAATTATTGTTGTAATCCTGTGGTCCTTCATAAGAGAATTTAATTATGAACGGTGGGGACAAATTCCCCAGAAATATCTGGATTCTAGTAGAAGGACCTTGGTGATAGTTTCATCCCAGAAAGCCGAAGTCTTTGAGGTTTTTTTTAATTATAGGTGGGCCAAAATTGAAAGCTTGTCTCTAATGTATATCTCAGCTCAGTACACAGGAGAAGTGGTCTCAGTAGTTGACAGCACACAGGGAAGTGTTCCAGTGAAAACAAACAATGCTGAAATTACGGCAGGAAACTATGACTCTGAGGTCAAACTTGAGATGGCTATGAATGGCAGAGTCTAGCTATTCTGAAGCCATTAATTGGTGAGAATTGGCTTCAGAACTGGGCCTGTGTCACCAGGTAGAAGTGACTATAATTGGGCTTAAAATCAGCAGCAGTTGCCAGTTAAACTGACCTAATAAGCCAAAAGAGACTTGCAAATAAACTAGCAAGTATGTGCATAACACAGTCAGAACTCCTGCCTAGGGAAGGCTTCAGACTTTGAGTAAACAGCAACTTGCTCCTTCCCCTCCTGCTCTCCCTTATTACTGAGCAGATCTAAAATGTGCCTCCTGCTGATACTGTCCCTACCCACTGCGTAAAGCTGAACAACAGAGAACCAGCAATTTCACTGCTCCTTTAGAATATGCAAATCATCGTACCACCGAGATGTCCTGCGCTGCGAAGGAAATTGTTAAATACCAGCTTTATGCTGAGCATTGCTGGAGCAAGTGGGAAGGCTTGAAGGATGACTTAATTAAGCATTCTCCTTGCTAAGCAGAAGAAGGAGAAAAGCTTTAATAAGGTTGTTGGATTGGGATTTTTTTTCCTGTTTTCCCTGCAGCTCTCTCCTCTTCTAGCATTTTTTTTTTTTTTCAGAGGAGTCGTGCAGTTCTTGCCTGCAGTAGTACCTGTGATACGTCTCTGGAAGATTGGTGGGCTGTGGTGTCTTCTAGAAGCTGTCAGTGGAGAGGTGGCCGCACCACCTCTGCTTTGGGGTGCTGTGGCGTGCGTGCTGCCTGCTCAGATGTGCTGGACGTGGGTCCCTGCTTTGAATGCATTAGGGATGGCTTTGCCCAGACCAGCAGGTCCAATCTGGGCTTAGAAGTGGAAAGATGATGTGAAGTGGAAAAGGAGGGAGACCCCTGCAATGTCTCACCTACCTGCCTGTCCTCCAAGGGACGGGTGAAGTGGTGGTTCTTCAGCCTCATCAGAGGACTGCCTCAGGGCTTAGCCCAGGGCCATCCTCTCTAAGCCATAGTGAGTGTCTAAAGCCTGGGGTTCCCCTTTGTGTGCTCAAACATGATGCTCCCAGGTGAGGTAGGAGTGGGTTCCTGGCTGCACTCCTCCTCAAGCTCCTGTCTGCCTGAGGCCACCCAGCTCACTTGCTCTGGGAAGGACAGGCTGAGCCTCCAGTGAATACCCCTGTGCAGGCTTTTATTTCTCAGAGCTTTTGCCAGCAGCCAGAAGATAAAATATGCTGCTGTTACATATCAGTAGAGAGTGAAAAAGATGCTGGTCTCTTTTCATTCCCATGATAATACTTGCTTTATCATGCAGGTAGATTTTAAAGAGAATGGTCTATGCATAAGATGTGAATTTCTTTATGAAAAAAGTTTTAGTTTTGCAGAGCATTTGGAGTTACTGGCCTTCACTTCCAGCAGCAAGGAGATGCATGGTTATTTTAAGGTTTTCTCTAAAGTACCATTTTTAAAGTCTCCTTTTTCCACCCCTTGTGTTCCAGTTGTGATAAGCTCTATGAAGTGTTAGTAAAAATGTTTTGTTACCTTGATGGGTAAAACGGCAAATCGGATAAAACTACACCCAAGTAGGTAGTGACCAAACTGATTTTGAATGGAAGCCTGCTGCAGGTGCCTGTGACTCGTAAACCTAGGATCAGGTTACAGCTTAGTTGTGCTGGTAGCTGAGGCCCAGAAGTCCCCAGTGCTGCTTTTGGTCCTTGTGGCATTACGGACGGTGGTAAGCAGCTCTTCCTGGGCTTTAGCCAACCCAGGCAGAACTGGCATGCCTGGCCACCAATCCTGCCACTCTGGGGTGCTCCAGACATTCTCTCTGAACTAGCAGAATGAATGTCTTTATCCTATCTGTTTC